GCATGTTAAACATTTTTTATTGGTAGAGTTTTGCTGTTGAATCTTGCATAGACTTCTAGCTGTCCTTGACAGCTCCATTTTTTTTTTGTTTGTTTCCAATTTTAACTTCTGTTAAATGTACCTTTCAGAGTAGCCAGCTCTTGTAATAAGGAAGTGGCATAAACATGATTTCCTGAGGAAAATGGGCTCTGACATTAGAAGACTTGCTTGAACCTGACTCCTTTCCTAGTTTTTAACCTTGGGTAAATTATTTAATCTGCCTAAGCCTCTGTTACCTCATCTGTAAAAGGATATTGATAATATATGCCTCACAGAATTATTCTCTTTAAGGATGTCTTCCCTAATTCTACCATATTCTCAACACTATAGCCCCTCAGTATTTGTAAGTATAATTTATATTATATTAGAGTAAGTTGACTTATAGATTGCTTTGTTATCTTTAGTATCTAGGGCTTATGTTGGTTTTTTCCTTCCTCCTCCAATTCATTGTGAATTATTCAAAAACAAGATAGGCTCTTTTACTTGTTTGTCCTCTGTCAGGAAGCTTAATACACTAGCAGGCGTATCAGCTCTGGTGTTCAACACCAGAGGTGAAAAATATAAGTTACTTCTGATTATTCTTACAGAGACTTTATTCAGTCTGTCAAAAACCATTTGACTGACATTGGTGTGCCTTGAAGGGAGTTCTGGGTATTGAGGATACAGATGAGAGCAAGACAAGAGCTTTCATTCCCGAGGAGCTAACCATTGGTGAGGATAGAGATAATAAATATATACTTTTTAAATCCAGGTATTGATATATATACATAGAGAGGAAAAAACAATATGCTTGATAGGAGTTGTCCTTGGTTGGGAGGAGTCATTTTAGTTGAGACCTGAATATTGGAAAGTGAGCCATGAGAGGATGTGAGAGAACAGCATTCCCAGCGAAAGCAAGCAAAAACGGGCTGAGAAATATACTGGCATGTAGTGGAATGGTAAGAAGGACATATAGCTAGATATGGAAAATAGAACAGAGGGCGAAGATAGGTGAGATTAGAGAGGTAGGCAGGAGGCAGATCATTAAGGGCCTTCTAGTTCAGGGTGGAAATTTTACACTTCACTTTTAGTGAGAAATCTTCAGAGAGCTTCAAGGAGAGATGTGACATGATTTATTGTGCATTTCTGGAAGATAACTCATATCGCTAGGTACAAGGTAGGCTGTATAATAAGAGTTGAAAAGGTAGGAGATGAGTGAGAAAGCAGTTATTCTGGTCCACGAATGACATCAAGGTGGCTTGGGCTAAAAAATTCACAGTATGAATGGTGAAAAGTATATTTGGGGAGTTAGAGCTGTTAGGACTTGCTGGCAAAGGGTGTGATGAAAAGAGAAGGATCAAGTAGATTCTTAGGCTTGGGGCTTTTAAGTGAAATTGATTTTTTGGGAGGTGGGATTAATAGTTCTATATTGTCTGTGTTGAAATTGTTATGCATATTGGATATCCTAGTAAAGATGTCAAGCCAGTTACTTAACATATGAGTTTGGATCACAGGGAAGATGTCTGGTCTGAAGATAAACTTTTGAGAGTCCACAGCATTTAGATAGTTGAAGCCATGACACTGAATGCATTCATCTATGAAGAGGAGAAATTTAGAGAAGTTTTATGGGGAAAGAGTTCTGGAACACTCTAACATTTAGAGGCCAAGAGGAGAAGATCTAGTCAAGGATGCTGGAGAAGAGCAGTTAGTAGTAGTGAGGTAGGAAAAAGCAGTGAGTATGTGGTTCTAAAAGTTGATTTTAAATGTTGCCAAGAAGTCAAGTAAGGTGTGAGCAAAAACTGACCATTGGCTTTGGTAGGAGTTAAATTATTGATGACTCTGATATGAGCTATTTTAGTGGAGTGCTTGATTACAGTAGGCTAATGACAGTGCTAGGCGAGGATGCAGAAACAGTGGAATCAAACAATGCATGTAATTTGTTGGATGTGAGAGTAGGAAGATGAAAAAGTTCTCTTCTGACTGTATTTTTTTTTTTAACAGAAATGAGAATGGTTTTAAGGAGGGTAAGAAACTGTGGAATTATAGTGTTGAATGTAGCACCTATGGGGATTTGAAGTTGCCAAGAATGCTGATAGGACTACTAGGGGGAGGAGAAGACTGTGGATCTTGAGATCAGTGGATGAGGCAGTGTGTCTGGGTACAGCAATAAAGGGTTTTGAAGGGTAGTAAGGTCTGATGACATGTGCTTCAAAGAATATGGGATCTTTGGAGGAAAATATAGAAGAGAGATGTTGGAAACTACATTAGGGAGTAAGAAAAAAACTCATCTCCAGGCACTGACTTATATATGGTGTAGAAGAAAATATAGCCTTACTTGAGAGCACTTCAGCAGAAGCCATATCCTCAGGGGATGGGCAGGTGAAGCTTTAGGTTGAGGGTATAGATGAGTTTTCTAATAAAAATAGTTCATTTTCATACATTTATCAAGTACTCACTATGTGCCAGAAGCAAAACTGTTTCCAACTCTAAACACATGTTATTTCATGTGATCCTCACAATAATCCTATAATATTGGTACTATTATTAGTCTCACTTTATGAATGAGGAAATTGAGAAGTTAAGCAACTTGTCCTTGGTCACAGAGTTGGAAGCGGCAGTGCTAGATATTATTCCCTTCCGTGTTCCAGGCAATAACTACCCTATCCTGCTGATGGCAGATGATGATTTTCAACACACAGTAGAAGTGTTTAGGAAGGAAAAGAAAGCTAGACAATGAGCCAAATTAGAGGATATTTATAACAGTGTTGAATGAACATTTTTATATTGAAGGATGATCTTGGAAGCTTTCAATTGTGTTGAAGACTTTGGTGAACCGCAGTTTGATGAACTTTTCGCATATTTCAGACTAAAGAAAAACTTGAAAGTTTTAGATGGCTAGTTTTGCTAGGGGCTGGAAATATTTTGGTAACTGGGAAAAAAGTCGCTAAAGCTTTGAGGTACCCCATGACACCACTGAAAGGAGGTAGAAGGGTAATTGGTAATCTATATTTTTGTAGCAGTAGCCTACTGTTTTATTGTCTTGTCTTTTTGATAGCCTTGGGCAAATATTATATTGACTAGTTATCTTTCTGGCCCTGAAATTCAAGGACTGTAGTTCTTATCATCTGATATTATTAATACAGCTGCTTTTGGCAGCAAAATTTAGAACAATGCTAGTCATACTGAAAGGAAGATGAAAAGACTTTGTAGGAAAATTTTTATATTTTTTTCACAAGACTACTTGCAAAAGTAAGCTATTTTTCTCTGATTGTAGAAGTATGTTTGCAGCTGGGCATGGTGGCTCATGCCTGTAATCCTAGCACTTTGAGAGGCCAAGGCAGGTGGATCGCTTGAGCTCAGGAGTTTGAGACCAGCCTGGGCCACATAGTGAAACCATCTCTCTGTTAAAAAAATATAAAAATTAGCCAGACATGTTAGTGCGTACCTGTAATCCCAGCTATTTGGGAGGCTGAGGCAGGAGAATTGGTTGAGCTAGGGGAGGTTGAGGCTGCAGTAAGCTGCGATGGAGCCATTGAACTTAAGTCTGGGTGATAAAGTGAGAGTTTGCCTTTCACCTCCCCCTAAAAAGTACTGTTTATTCATTTTGGAAAATTTATAACAATTTCACCTCTCATACATATTTTTAAAATGTTATTTTATTTCTGCATATTATATATATATGTATGTATATATTTATTTGTCTGATGTTTTTTCTTTTCAGCCTCATGGATATGTAGAGATATATATATATATATACACACACACACACATATGTACAAAGATATATATATATGTGTGTGTGTGTGCGTGTGTGCGCGTGTGTGTATATATATATATCTTTGCACCACTGCACTCCAGCCTGGGTGACAGGGCAAGATTCCAACTCAAAATATATGGTGCAATCTTGGTGTACTGCAACCCCCACCTCCTGGGTTCAAGCAGTTCTCTTGCCTCAGCCTCCTGAGTAGCTGGGCACCACCACACCTGCCTAACTTGTGTATTTTTAGTAGAGACAGGGTTTTACCTTGTTGGCCAGAGCTGGTCTTGAACTCCTGATCTCAGGCTATCCACCCGCCTTGGCCAACCAAAGTACTGAGGTTACAGGCTTCAGCCACCATGCCTGGCCATCTGCCTATCATATTTTTAGTATAATCTTATAGTCATGTTTTGCTTAACCAGGATATGTTCTTAATGACACAGAAAAATGTGTCATTTGGCAATTTTGTGGCTGTGTGAACATAATAGAGTGTACTTACACAAACCTAGGTGGTATAGCCTATACACCTAGGCTATATGATGGAGCATATTGCTCCTAGGCTATAAACCTGTGTAGCATGTTACTGTACTGAACATTGTACAATAGGCAGTTGTAACACAATGGTAAGCATTTGCTTACCTAAACAGATCTGAACATAGAAAATATATGGTAGAAACACGGCATTATAATCTTAAGAAACCACTGTTGTATGTGCGGCCAGTCATTGACTGAAATGTCGCTAAGTGACACCTGTCTATACCTAAAATTGAATCCCATTGTATATCCAGTTTTCCTTCATTTTTCAGTTCACTTTTTATTTTTGTAAGCAAGAGCATTTCTGTAGATCATTAAGTCGCTCTTTCAAACCTGATTCCTGAAGACTGTATAACTGGTTTGTTGAGTGGGTTGAATTTGGTAGGAATTTTGGGTTTATGCTTCAGCTAGGATTTATCTATTTTTTTTTTTCTTTTCAGCCTCATGGGTAGATCTCATTACTTTCAGCTCATTTCAGAATGGTGTCATTTTCAGGAATTAGAGTATTGCCTAATCTAAACCGAAAACTCTCAATTTGCTGTTCTTTTCTTTCCATCTAGCTCCATCCTGACTGAAGACTTAATGAGCTACAGCCGGAAAGGGGGAATCCCTTGCTCACTGACTCTGCCTCAATTTGCTCTTTCATTCTTCCTTCCATACTCACTTTGCTTTTTCTGGGTCTTCAAAACGGGGAATGGGGACACATTTGAGGAAGAGGAGCCGATTTTTTTTTTAAACTTAGTGTTCTTTGTAGTTCTCTCTTGCTTTCATTAGCTGGCCTTTACATACTTGGGTTATTTGTAAAGCCTCCTGAGGGCAGCTTCCTTGCTACATCTGTGATGAGAGTTCTACTCTGCCTCCTGGGAATCCACTGGCTCCTGTTCTCTATTTACTCTCTTCATATATCCATAGCCTCTTTCAGCAAATGTACCTTTGCCCTTATAGTCAACTTTCCTTAGCAAAATTCCAGTGAAATGGCATATTCTCAGGCTACTCTCATTTTGTCCACTTGGACCATGAGAAGAATAACATATGTGTGACTTGTCAAACAGCAAAAGTGCAGCTTGCTTGCTGAATTACTGCCCTCTCATATCTATATTTTTAATTTTCTACAGACTTTTCCAGGCGAGAGGCAGATACCATTTTTCTGTGTTTATATATACATCTGTACTCCAGAGGACACATCAATTTTCCCAGAACTCCCTCACTTATCCTCTACAGGTGGACACTCTTGAGATGGGCCTGTCTTCTATGAGATGGACATACTGAGATGGGATGTGCTTGAGTTCTGCAGAATGGAGATGCCAGAAGTATCTTCTTTTAGGTCTTCAATTTCTGAAAGTAAAACCTTGCGCCACCCCCTCATTAGTTTGGACACAGGAGAGATATTCTACTTCCTTATACTTTGGTGAGGAAGAGAGAAAACGATGTTCTCTGTAACTTGGAATTTCTTCAACATATCCCCGACATGAATCTTTAGCCTTATCTTATGTAGCCTAAAGATGGATGATAAAGGGCTTATGGTTGAAGGGCCAGTTTGGCTACCTTTTGGCAAATCATGTGAGACTGTGTCTAGCAACTTTTCTTGAGAATTTTATTGCAATTATGAGGCAATAAAAAAATCCTTTCCCTATCTTGATGTAAACGCAAGTATTTTATGTAAACTCATAGTTGTAGTGATTCCATAGTAAACATTATTGGTCAATATGGTTTCTTCACATAGAAGCTTCAGTGAACCCTCAAGGGAGTAGCAAAAAGGAACTGTTTATACTACAGGAATGGAAATTACAGGACCCAGGGTTGAGCCTTGCATCTTACTGTAACTAGATAAGTTAACTTTAGGCAGATAACATGGTTTCTCTAGGCATCTTCTTTAGAATGAGAGAATTAGACTAAAGGATATCCTCCAAGATTCCTTCTGGTGCTAAAGTTTATGAATCTGTTTCCAAGGCATTTCTGCTGTTGGAACTATACCCTCTAGGAACTTGTCAACAGAGTACTTCTCTGTAAGTGGAGCTTTCAGAATAGAATCAGTACTATACTATACCCTTCCATGTCCTACCATTTAATGCCATTTATTCATTTCTTCAAGTATTATTAATTCATTTAACAAATACTATATTTACTTGTATGAATCCAGCCATTGAACCAAATTTGTATGCAAGTTCGATACTGTGCCTTTCGGGCTTAAGAGAAAACCAAACCAAACCAAACAAAACCACTATTTGAGAAACTGTAACTGAACAAACAGCAAACATTAATAAAATACAAATGTAGATTCTAAGTATAGTTCCTGGCACATAGTAGTTGCCTAACAAATGTTAATTCCTCACTGAAACAAAGGGCAGTTAAGCCAGTGTAACATGTTTGGGGGGCTGTACTAATTGTATCACATAAATGCTACATTTTTGGTGATTTGTGGGTATTCTTATAACACAATCATGTAACATCATCATTTGTCTTAGTCATTTAGCAACTTCCCCTTATTGCAAAACTAGACCTTTCTTTAACCTATTAATGGTAAATTCTCACTGATGCTACTATAGAAGCTTGAGTGGTCACCACTCGTAGAGGAACATTCTGAATTAAATGGCTTCAGCTCTTGCTTTCTGTTGCATTTATAGTTTTCTAGTATTTTCCAAACACTGATGTTTATGTGCCCAGGTAAAGTATCATAATCAGATATTAGGAACAACAGATAATGAGTTCATAGAAAATTCTAGGAACCATTATATTGTTTTTATTTGTCAGTTACCCAAGTAACAGGAGAGGTGTTTGCATTTTTGGAGGGTATTGAACAATGTTTGCAATGTTTTCATTGCTTAACATAATACTTGCTGTGTATGCGTCTTCCTACTGAATTACTAACTGGGCAGTTCTCAAAACTGTTACTAATTATCTCTGTCCAGATATAGATTAGACCTTACAAAACCAATGTTTTCTGAATGTTTTTCTGTCCATAGCTACTCTTTGCTCTTTTTTTTTTTTTTTTTTTTTTGAGTCAGGGTCTTGTTTTGTTGCCCAGGCTGGAGTGCAGTGGTGCAATTTCAGCTCACTGCAACTTCCACCTCTTAGGCTCTAGGGATCTTCCTGCCTTAGGTCTATGAGTAGCTGAGACTAGAGGCACACACCACCATGCCTGGCTAATTTTTGCATTTTTTTGTAGAGATGGGTTTTGCCATGTTGCCTGGGCTGGTCTCCAACTCCTGAGCTCAAGTGATCCACCTGCCTCGGCCTCCCAAAGTGCCGGGATTTCAGGCGTGAGCCACAGTACCCAGCCAATTCTTTGCTTGTTTAAATGACAGAATTAGATTGGATTCCCACTAGTAATATGTAAGTGATAGAGCTTCTTGTCATTTCATATTCATAATCTAGATATATTTCTTGCTGTCTTTTATATCAATAATATATATATTTTCCATTTCCTTTGCCACTGTCCTAGTTCAGATTTTAAATTACTGACTGCCTGACCAAGTATGATAGTGTAATGATGTAGACCAGTAAAGTATGACCATTTCATGAAGCAAATCTTTCCAGGGTGATCTGACCACAAATCCGGTGTTATTGGTATTGCTTTGTTGGCTGTATCCTTTCTAGAACTCAAAAGGCAATAATATGAAGGAAGCCATATCTTTTCCGTGTACGCTACAGCCTCACATATCTGTTCCCTTACTAGTAAAAAAGTAGCCAGCTAATATGTTTTCAGTCCTTGCCTGTTTCATAATATAAATAGAGACAAATTTGGTAAAATCTAAAAGCTACAATTGTCATTATCATTTATATTGGAAAATATAATCATGATTGAATGAAACTGTATCCACTTAAGAATTTTTTATCCTCTTCACATGATTCTGGCATTATTAGATGTTGTATTCATACTTAATATTTTTCAAGATTCTTTATTCTTCCCCAATTTAGTACTGCCATATTTTTCTATCATTCTCTCCCTTAACATTTTATCTTCCGATGCAGTGTACTTACATTTTAAACTGTAAGTTTAAAACTTACAGTTTAAAAATTAAAAAAAAATTATACCCCTTGTTGTAGCCAAATCCTGCTGCTTCTTTCTCGCTAATGTCTTATATATTGCACTTTTCTTCTGGCCCCACTCCTAGCCCTTCACATGGCCTTCATGCTAGTTCTAGTGTTTACTATTTTATGACTGAGTTAGTGCAGTAGTCTGTTAATAAATGATAGTAATAGCTAACATTTGTATGGCTCCTCGCAGATTAGGCAGTGAATCCTCAAGTTTTTATTTTATTTTATTTTTAGACGGATATCACACTGTCACCCAGGCTGGAGTGCAGAGGCCCCTTCTTGGCTCACTGTAACCCCTGCCTCCCTGGTTCAAGTCCTGTCTCAGCCTCCCAAATAGCTGGGATTGCAGGCAAGTGCCACCATACCTGGTTAAGTTTTGTATTTTTAGTAGAGACAGGGTTTCCCCATGTTGGCCAGGCTGGTCTTGAACTCCTGGCCTCAGGTGATCTGCCCTCCTCGACCTCCCAAAGTGTTGGGATTATAGGTATGAGCCAACACGCCTGGCCCTCAAGGTTTTTTATTTGAGCATTTTAGTCAGCTTATTTTTATTTCTATTTTAAAGATGACAAACCAGAGACTTTGAGAGTATCAAAGAATATTAATTAAAAAAGCAGTGACTAGAACCAGGTCTTCTGACTTCCCATCATATATTCTTACTATTATGCCCTTCTGCCATTTCATACAGCTATTCGAATTCTCTATTTCATTTCTATCATATTATTCTTTCCGAAAGTATCGCTTTGAACATATCTCTACTGATCGTTTGTCTTCTTGCCCCTGCATATTACTACTTTTTGGAGTTAGATTTATCATTACCCTAGAACTTTAGGACAGAGCCTGTTCTTAAACACTGGGGTATCCTGAGCTCCATTAGCTTAGAAGGCCAACATTGTCTTGCCTTTATTGTTTCATCTCTGGTACTTGGTATAAGTATAAACTTATTTTTTTCTTTATGAATGACTTAGAACTTTATTATTGGATCTTCAGTAGCTTGATTCCAGGAACTGAACATTTTGGCCATGCATGGTATCACTGTTCCAATAATTTGTACTCTGGCTTGTTGCTCCCTGCACCTTAGTTACTAGCTTTGTTTACTGCATAGTTCATCATTAAGCTTTCCCTTGAACTAATATCAACAGCAAAATAACATTTGTACCTGAAAAAGTGGCCCAAGGATGCGACGTCTATATTTAGGGGAAGAGCTGTCTAAGCAGAGAGAATCCAAATACAATAGCCCTGGAGTGGGAAATTCCCTGCATGTTTCAGAAATAGAAAGCAGGCCAACATAGTTGTAATAGAGAGAAGGTGGGGAAAGGGGAAGGTTGAAGGAGTTAAAGTCAAGTCAAAGAGGTAACGAAATGTGAAGCTGAGATATGAAGCTTGAAGTATCTCCTGCAGATTGTGGGGGATATTATTAAAGTGTCTTTTCTAATGATTTGCCAGGTTACAGAAGTGGAAGATGAGGTCACAGAAAGCTTCTCAGATATAAGGGAGCTAAAATCTTTTATGTTTTAAAGAAACATTCCCCACCAGACTTTTAAAAATTTCCATCCTGATTTTGAATTTAAATATAAGAACAGAACAAAACAAAAAAAAAATGACTTAAGGAAAGGCCAGGATCTCAGTTCTGTTGAAAAGACTTCCTAAAAAATATTTGCAATGTTTCTCAGGTACGTTTAGACTAACTTCATTAAGCTTGTCCACAGTGACCTCGAACAGATACTTG